CCAGTAGTCCTTACCCCGTCTTTCGAGGTGGAAAGCAAAGGCTCTAGTGCAGACACTTGCTCCTTAGAATGCTGCTGGCGTCTCTGCGCATGCCGCTCTCTGGCGGGCTATTCAAAAGATGAGGACCAGAGAGAGAGAGAGAGAGAGAGAGAGAGAGAGAGAAGTCTCCGGAGAAATCACAACGGAAAGAGAGAAATAGAAGTCAATCAATCAATCACCTGACTCTGAAAATCAATTAGCGTCAGGTCAAAAAGAAATTTGCATTGGTATAGTTAAATTACGAAAAGAAAAGAGGAAAAGGAGGGGAGGAAGGGGAAGCATGTCAAAACATTGTGTGTGTGTGTGGTCGAAAAAAAGATTGGAGAGAGATTGCACAAACGTCAATGTCATCATCGGACAGACTTCTCACTGACATTTCCCGCTAGAATAGATAAATTCTCTGTCCGGTGCTGTGCGCGTCTGTTTCGAACTGTCTCCATGGCAATCATTGGAATCATACACTCTGCTTCCTTTTCCCCTCCTCCTCCTCCTCTTCTTAGGAAGGGAAAAAGTGTATGTATAGAAAAGTAGTGACTATCATATGTACAGTAGGTGAAGAAGGCTGTTGTCGTGTTCAGGCGCTGTTGTGAAGATTTCAATTTGGCAGAAGACTGAAGTCGGTTGGTTGAGTGAGTGTGAGTGAAAGAAAACGAGAAAGAGAAAGTTCGGGCGTGGTGGCCTGGAATCAGCACCGATCGGCCATCACGAAAAACGGTGGCCACCTACGCGCTTTCTCTTTCCTCTGTCTCTCACTCGTTCGTTTGCTTAGTCGATAATTTCGTAATCTTCGTCCGACTCGAGGGCGGTAAAGGAGGAGGCCGGCGAGGGCACAGAGCCGTCCACAACTGCCGCCGCCGCAGCCGCCGAAGTTGAGCATTGGCCAGTGGCTGATTGCGAGTGCTGAGACTGATTATGACAGGAGGCCTTACTGCAGGAGGTGGCTGCAGAGGATGAGGTGTAGGTGGTGGAGGTGGAGGTGGAGGTGGAGGCGCCCAGCTCAAAGTCCTCCTCAAAGCCGGGCCAGTTGGGCGGTCGCTCCTTCATAATCTCAAAGAGCGGCTGCGTTTGGGACTCCTTCTCGGGGGAGGAGTGTCCCGAGTGCTGCTGCCCACCGCCGACCAGCTTCTTCATCACCAGCGTCGCCCACTGGTCAAAGTCCTCCTCGGTGGTGCAGAGGAAGCAGAGGGCGAGGGAGGGGTCGAGGGAGGCGATCGGCAGACGGGAGGCACGCTCGCAGTGGTAGGAAACGTCATCGCACACCTCAGTCAGAGCTTCTTCAGCAGTTGAGGAGCCGCCGTCTTCAGAGGCTTCTTCAAAGTTATGCTCCGGTCTGTGCACCGTCTTCATCTTCCCCACCGCCTCCTCGGCAATGTTCACCGCCGCCTGCGTGGTGTGCGGATCGAGGTAGACGAGGTCATCGCCGACGCAGCCAATCAGGTAGAGGGCGTGATTGGGCCGGCCGCCGAGAATGCCCAGCGACTGCGGCAGGGCAAAGGTGCTCTTCAGCGAGCGAAAGTACAGCGGGTTGATGTCGGTCAGGCCGAGGCGGAGGGGAATGAAGAGCACCAGCGGCCGCCAGTAGTCGGCGCTTTCGTTAAGCTCCGTCGCCTCGACGGCCAACGTCGAGGTGGCCAGGCGCATCGACTCCAGCCTGATCTTCGACTTGCAGAAGCGTTCTGACGGGGAAATTATCTCTTTGCGTTAAAAGGTGGGGTACAAAAAGAGGAAAGATCAACACTTACTGATATCGTCAATAAAGACCATATTGTCCATGGCGACGTGGACGTGAATGTCATTGACCTTGTCGTACACTGACAGCTTTCTGCAAGGGAAAAAACTAATGTTAAAACCGCGCAACACAGCTTCAGCACTATAGGCTTACTTGAGCACCTGCGCCACAGTGTTGGGGCCGAACCACTCGCCCACCTCCTTGCCCTCACAGGCGCCCATCAGGGCAATCTGGTGGATGGAGTAGGGCGCCGTCTTCTGGTCGGCAAACAGCTTCAGAATGCGTCGGTACTTCAGGTACTTCTCGTAGTCGCTGGTAGTTCTACTTGTCTTATCTTCATCATCCTTTGCCGCCTGTTCCCTATGTTGTTGATTGTGCTCCTCGAGCAGCTTCTGTACGGTGGTCGAGTCGGTGTACCGCCACCGCCAGTCGCGGCCCAGGTGAAGCTTACAGAGCGCCTGGGCGAGAACCATCTGCCCGGTGCGAAGCATGCAGCCCCAGCCACTGTCCGCAGTCAGGCCCGAGTCGCCGATCGAGGGAAAACCTCGGCGGTAGGTGACCCATATCAGCGAGTAGACGTCGGCGCGAATCTCCTCCAGTTCTAAATTGGGAGGAAAGAGTTATGAGATTTTCTGGAACAATTTCGAACACCCGAAAATCCAATGACAGTCTTACCATGCAGTGAGCTGTACTTTCGCCCCAAAATGTACACTGGCTCCTCGGAGGGCGGAAAGTCGTAGATGGCCTCCACATCGGCACTGTTACCTTCGCTGCTCGCGAGCTGATAAACTGTAGTGAAGTCATCAAAGAGAAAGAGAACAATGAGAAATCTGTTATCAGCTTCAAAATATCATCATCACTCACAACTGGGCGTAAGGGAGTTCAGCGTAGAGATCAAATCCATCTTCTTGNTGGCTCCTCGGAGGGCGGAAAGTCGTAGATGGCCTCCACATCGGCACTGTTACCTTCGCTGCTCGCGAGCTGATAAACTGTAGTGAAGTCATCAAAGAGAAAGAGAACAATGAGAAATCTGTTATCAGCTTCAAAATATCATCATCACTCACAACTGGGCGTAAGGGAGTTCAGCGTAGAGATCAAATCCATCTTCTTGAGAAGGATTTTTAACATCCAGGCAATGCAGAGAACAAGGGAGGAAGTGACGAGGCAGAGTGCGCCTCGGAGATTGGCCAGCTTCGAACAGGTCCACTACCACCACCACCACAACTGCCAACAACTGCGCAAAATTGGCTGAGGATGTCTTCAGCAGAGGTCTGCAAGCTTGGGCGCCTATCAATCTTGGAGTGAGCACCAGAGAACATCGAAGAGTGTTGGTCCACTAACAATGATGATGATGGTAACTGCGGTGATCAGCTCGCCAAGACAAAGCAAAAGAAAGAAAGAAAAGTGAAGATCATCAAAGACGCAGCAGCTGGCACCCCACAAAAATATACAACGCACCAAAACGTAAACAAACGCAAAGCTGTACAAAAATGGCTTTTCACAGAAGGCGTGACAAAGAAGCAAAACAATCATCATTTTCGTCATCGTCCGATCTTCAGCGTTTCATCCGTTCTTTAACACTTCATCATCTTTTTATCAACAACAAGGTTCGTGCCAGTTTCATTTCATTTCCCTGTAGTAATCCTAGTACTCATTACAGCTCAATATGACCAATCGTGCCACCACCGTCGCCACCGTCGGCGACGGCGGAGATGAGTTTCCAAGCGAGGAGCAGCACCTCTTTGACATCGTCAACACCTTCTGCGCCTACAAGAAGGCCTTCAACCGGCGGATCGCCGACCGCCGTCACTTCATCGCCAGCGACCAGTTTACCAAAGAGCAGCGGGCCAAGTTTGCCCCGTACATCCTCCACCTGGCCATGCTGGAGACGGCCGCGGAGCACAACCAGGAGATACTGAAGCTCTTTGCCGCCACCGCCGGAGACATGTTCCAGAACGCACAGAACAACAAGGACACAGCAGACAGCAGCAGCCAGCTGATAAAGAAGCCGGAAAGCCAGCTCAACACTGACCGCCTCAACTCGGTCCTCCACCAGCTCGCCCGCGAGTGGACCTCAGCGGGAGCGCCGGAACGGGCCGCCAGCTACGACCGCATCCTCGCCGCCCTCGAGCGGTACTTTCCCGTGGTCAAAAGCGAACAGCACAACAGCAGCAGCAGCAGCAGTCGATCCGCCGTGAAGGTCCTGGTGCCCGGCTCCGGCCTGGGCCGCCTGCCCTTCGAAATCGCCCGCCGCGGCTTCAGCTGCCAGGGCAATGAGTTCTCGCTGATGATGCTCCTCGTCTCCAACTACGTCCTCAATGAAAGTGAGGAGCCCGACTCGCTTTCCTTCTACCCGTACATCAGCCAGCTGGCGAACAACCTGACCGCCGATGCGGCCCTCACCCGGCTCACCTTTCCCGACGTCTGTCCGTCGGTGGTCGGTATCCCGCCGGGCGTGGCCTTCTCCATGGCCGGCGGCTCCTTCCTCGACGTCTACGGCGGCGGCGGCGGCAAGGCGGAGCACCGCCAGGCCTGGGACGCCGTCGTCAGCTGCTTCTTCCTCGACACCGCGCCCAACGTCCTCGAGTACATCGAGCTGGTGGAGGCGATACTGAAGCCGGCTGGAGTGTGGATCAACTTTGGCCCGCTCATGTACCACTGGACGGACGGTGGTGAGGGTGGTGGTGGTAAAGGCGACGGAGGCCGAGCCAAGTCCTGCTCCGTGGAGCCCACCTACGAGATGGTGCACGGGCTGATCGAGGCCTCGGGCTTTGAGTTTGTGGAGGAGGAGAAGG